GACCTCCGACACTAAACTCTCCTCCTCTTGCATGTTTCCTCTGTCCATAGCGTTCCTTGACAGTGTTGTTGCTAAGTCACCAATTTAGTGCTACTTGGTCTAAATGGAATTCCTCATTGGGAACCTACTAGCACTATGGCTAAGTTCACGCTGCAGGCCTTGATGCTCAATTCCGATTTTTTTGGGGAAATCAGATTTTTTTGCGTTGACGTTCATAATTCCATATATATGCAACTTGTATGTGATGTCCTGTGGGAACTGCAGTCATACAACGCAAGTGTCCCGCATGCACAGTAGAGGACGTAATGACTACACAGGCCAGCATGCTTTTTTTTTTCCAGAAGTAAAAATGAATGGTAGTGCCGGCACGCATCTAGTGGTCTTTTCCAAACATAAAAACACAATCTTTTCAATATTTTTAAGCATAAATAATGCTCTCTACATCATCATCTGCCATTGTTGTTGTTTTTCTTGCCGCTTCTATGTAGCAAGACGCAGAATAGTAACGTCTGTCGGGTATTAATGACGTTCAGGTCGTTGGGACACAGGTCGGATTTGAAAAGATCAGATTCGTATCAGATTCAGGACCACATAGCCAAGTGGCCTGGGTAGCATTGGAAAAAAATCGAATCTGTGTTGTTCAGACTGCCATGAAAAGATCAGATCCAGGTCGCATATGGGCAAAAAAAATCGGATTTGGGTCACTTCAGGCTGCGGTGTGAACATAGCCTAAGTTGCTAACTGGTTAGCAAGATGTTTCAGACAAACTGGCCACAACCAAACTTGCTTGAGAATCTTCCACCACACAATCCCGCCCCCTTAAAAAATGACCAATCACATCCACTTTATTCACTCGTGTAAAGTTGGGCACCACTTGGGAGAATTCGGAAATGCAACGGTTGGAGCAGCCGCTTCCCTACGACTTTAAGTTACTATAATCCTAGGAAAATTTGTGAGTAGCGATTGATTATGTTAATAATTATCCAAATGAATCCAACAAGATACTTTGACAAAATAAACATATTCCTAAACGAAAAATCTGGATCTATATATCTATATATAGATATATATAAAAAAAACTCACTGAAATAGAACTTAAAATCTTGTTCTGCATTTATTATTGCTGAAAGTAAATGTCTCGTGAGGGCCGAACTTTGGACACCACGCCTTCTATACCTAGACAGCTGGGTGATTAGTTGGATCACCGGAGAACTTCACACATACTACAGAACTGTAAACATAGACGGTGGATTAAAGGTTAACCTGGACTTGAGGAAGGAAATAGATTAAAATAGATTTAAATCTAACCTCCAATTAAGTTTTACCCAAAGCATACCTCAGTAAAGAAACCGCAACCATCGTCACATTAGTATCAACATTAGCTTCAAAATAACTTCCATCCGTCCCAAATTAAAGTGACTAAAGAAAAAACTATCTTAAATATAAGCTATTAAATATTAACAAAGATGACAAAGAGGTAAAAAGCTTTCCATTTGAGTTTTATGAGCAGAGGATTGAAAAGCAGGCGCTATGCCTTTAGAGACGAGGAGATTTCAAAGTCAGTAAAGTTCTCCAGTAACAGCTGCACCTCTCATAAATTAGTCAATACCTTCCTGCTGTGTCCCATTACCGGCTGTATGTGCTATAAACCACCTAATGACCATTAAGGAGGACCAGGAACAAAGGTTTGGCAAACCATAAAAAGATTAAAAGACTAGAAATTCTTTCCTAAAGGGCGGTAAATGTTGTGGCACATCCTGAGGATACCCAGGTCTTCAGGGCCTTATACTTTCTAGTATCTGTTGCATTTTGTTAGTCGTCAGTTTTGTAATTAGTTGACAAAGGGTCAAAGGGCATTGCCCTCACAGCCAAGTAATGTTTTTTTATGCTTATGTTGAAATATTCAGCATTTCCCTGAGTGTTTATTTAGGATGTTTTTGGGAAGCATAAGAAGAGGCAATGAGAACCTTTATCCCAGCCTCCTACAAACAGAGTTTGTCTCGCATTCCTGGGAGTTTAACCCAAGTCAGCTGAATTCCTCTTAAACTCGATGAGCATGAATGAGGCCTACAGAGGCGCATTAGTGAGCTCCGATCAGGAGCTGAATTGGTAGAAACAGGAACTCCTAGCCTTTCACCTAAAATATCACAACCCATCAAGACGCAGAAAAACCCAGCAAAGACATCGGGGAAAATGGGATCTCACCGCCGGAAGTCGAGGCCCCCGAACTGACAAGAGATTCCAGTTTTACTAAGTTTGTTTTGAAATCCAATCTGTTGCTAAATCACCTTAAAATAACACCACAAACAACAAATTCTGATGTCAAGTTCCTGCCTTTCTAAAGGAGTCGATGCCATTTCTCTATGTAGCTTCAAAGTTCTTAATCACAACTAGAATGCCTATTTCTATTTAATATTGTTACACTGAAAGGCAAACTTTTATTTGTATTTATTATTTTTGATAATACTAATAACGGCTTATTGTTAATTATATTATTTAATGAATATTGCTGTGTCATTGTCAAACCCTGTTTGTCATGGCAACTGCAATTTTTGCATTGATCCAGGAGACTTTGTCTGTTTTGGGGGCTCAAAGTTTTGGAGCTGCTGTCTTTAAACACATGGAAGCTTTTCCTCCTTTTCTTAAGGACGAAGACAAAAAAAAAGGCCCTCCAGAAGATAATAAAGTAGAGACCTTATAGAGGAAAGAGTGCGGAGTAAATTACATTGTTTTTAATAAAGAAAAATTCCCCTCTCCCTTGGTGGGGAGGTCACATTTCCTGGGTTGGCCCCGTCTGGGCGCCTTTGCTCTAGGGGCCCCTTTGGGCGTCTGGGGCTTTGGGTGCCGCAGCGCTCGCCTCGGTGCTCTGGAGGGGCGGGTCTTTGGCTCTTCACAACCACTATTGAGCATTGTTCCTTTGGATAGACTTTACCTGCACAAGTGC